CTGCCGCCACTGGCCGCAGCGCGCGCAGGCGCTGAGGGCAGCATTGAAGCTGATCAGGTCCGGGTGCTCCTTTCTTCGACACCGGGCCGCACATCGGAGCTCGGTAAACGGAACAAAAACCATCCAAACTGAGAGGAAGTGATCTGTGAGCACCTGGTAAATGGATGAGATGTGGTAAAAGTCAAAGAAAAAAAAGGTAAATGGAACAAACCAGCGGAACAAACCCCTGGTAAAAAGGGGGGGGAACATGACCCTTTTGGAACGAACCATCCAAACCAGCGGAGCCCATCTGCGTCTAACCAAACTAGCCCAAAATGAAAAGACATGGACGGTAAATCTCGGAGCGTGGCTCGGTTTGACTGGGGCAAAATGGCAATGAATCCTTTGATGGGCACGGGGGTGCCGTCCAATTGAGCAATTGACATATTTTCTCGAGGTAGGCGAAGGGCTTTGAGAAATGCAAGACAAGAGGACTTGGCATTGGGCAGAAGTACCTGCAAACAATTTCAGGGAAATCGGTGCTTTATATATCTGTATAGATATAAATATAAATATATGTACACACATACGTTTAAGCTGATGTTTCCCTCAGCAGGTTGCGACGCACTGTCAAATTTGTTTCAACCCCTTGCAACTCATTTCAAATTGCCAATTTGTAATGCACCCCCCCCACCCTTTGTGGCAGTGGCATTTGGAAATTTGGACCGTTCAATTTTCTGGCTGTCGGTCTTTATCGCTGCCATTGGCTACAGGGGCCACACCTGAGCGATCTATCAAAATTTACAATGGGGCAGTGGAAGGCTTGGCCAACATAATGAATCTAGTATTAATTGTAGCTCCCTAGCCGCACTCACATGCTCCCCCCCCCGGCTCCTTTTGATAAATCTATCCATCTCCTTCAAATGCAGCCCCTTGAGGGTTCGCATTACATCCTGTCCGAACTCATAGAGGCACCCGGGATTGGATTTACGTAATCACGCACAACATCATATATATATATATATATGTGTATATGCTTTTGTTGAGGCTACCCTTCTTCGCCTTCTTGCTGCGTCAAAAGGCAAGCCAAAGGCATGCCACATCATGCCACCCTTTTTTGGAGATGCCATGTAACGACCCCAACCCACATCAAGAAAGAGGGACCAAACGCATTCGGATGCTCGGTGCTTTACGATTCTTGGGTTTCCCTTCAAAACATCACTCACGATATTTCACTTGGGGGGAAAGCAACTGATGTGTGGTTAGGGGCATCTTGGGCTTCTCCGAATGGAGCTCGATTCTGCACTGGATGGTTTCCCTTTGCTTTGGCTCATCCAAGGGGCTAAGCTGGAGAAGAGCTGAAGCGCCTTGCGCCACTGGTGCGTCTTCCTCAGCATGGTCTCCACCCCTTGTCAACCCATATTCAGCCAATGGTTTGACCAAGCAGCCATCAGCGGATGGCATTCCTACAGCCTACTTGCTCAAATGCTCGAGCATCATCCGTCAGGAATCCAACGCTTGTTTGGCCTGTGCCGTGGGACAATGTGCGGGAATGGCAGACTTTGTGTGGCATACTAAATTACGCCGCGATGTGCTATCGGGCTTTGCCCGATATCTCCGAACAAGAATCTAATTGCGCTGCAAAAATAAACATGCGCGTGTCGACTAGGACGCCCTAAAAGGCACTATTCTCAGCGAAGGTTTGCTGGGTGCTCATTTCTAAGGGACTAGGGTAGCAACTCAGAGCGCACCTGCGACGTTGTTCTTTCCTTCGTCCACCAGTTTCAGAATCCATATTGGGGTCTGTGATTGTTGAGGGTACCCTTTTTTGGGTTGTGTTGAAGGGAAGCCAAAGCACCATTTATTCGGTCTTATTTTGATGCCTACAGGTGGCTTTGGGAGGTATCTGTTAAGGACGCTGCAGCTGGTCAGCGGATTTTGGCCATTGCTGCACAGGAGCGTTTTCTCTGCAATATGACTGGCCTCCTTGAGCACAACAAACAACTAACTTCTGCACCCAATAGTGAGCTCAACTCCGAGCTTCTCGCATGCGCTGATGGCTGAGTTCACCGAAATCAGCGATGGGGCCACCTGTGCGGTCGCATGCGATTCGCTGAATGCTCGGCCAGCCGCGCGCTGCACTTGAATCTGTGCACGCTAGGGTGTTCATAGTGTGCGTTCCGCATGCTTCCCTTCCTCTGAGTCAACACACATTCCTCACACGCCTTTGCGCGCTGATTCTCTCTGCCCGCACAATGCCCCTCGCAACCCATCCATGGAATGCCATGAACCATGTGTGAAGCACTGCTCACGAGCCAATGTGTTCCTTTTTCGCCGAAGCGGGCTGGCGGTTTCTGAACACCGGGGGGTGCTTTTGGCTGGGTGGCCCACCGGACTGATTATCTGATTGCTCCCATGTCACCCTGAAGGCTTCCAGCTTCCAATCGCATTTGGTCAAGTCAGCCCCGCGGGAAATAAACAACAAACCAAGGCAACACAATTCCAAGATTTTCTTCTCCTTTGTCCGTTTTTTCTTGTTTTTTCCCGGTGGCAGGTTGGTTCTCCCAAATAACGGCTGGGACAGCCTGCTGCACTGTGCCTCCGGGCCCCCTAACAATCCAACACCCTCTCCAGCAACGCAAAACAAAACAAAAACCAAAAACATTATTATTTGCTTTCCTGCCATCATCCTGTTGCTGACCAGAGTTCGCGACGACGGATGCATCGCGGAAAAAAAGGTAGGGCATCCGCAGCTGGGTTCTTACGAACAGGTTCCTCTGCCCGACGACATGTATTAAAAAACATGTGTTATTACTGTCTGGTCCTGTTTTGCATGCCGGAACCCATCCTCAGAACCCGTTGTGGGATTCTGATTGAGAAAAGCTGAAGAAAGGTGAGATTGGGTACCTGTTGCCGGACACCTGTTAGATTAACCTGCCGACAGGCCACCGATAGCGGGGGTTATCAGCTGATAAGGCCCGGCATATCCAGTGCTGCATTGCGCAAGACCGAAGACTGGCAATGGTGCACCAAACAGCGTGTCAATAAGACACAGGAATTGGAATCTTCAAAACTTTCGAATTCGCGCGCATTCGCCTCATCGCCGCACAGTTGCTGCACGCAAAGGCCCTAGACTCACGCAGGCCTGGCGCACATCCGAAGACAGAGGCATCGCATAATAAGATTATCCCTGCACATGCTGAGCAGAGCAAAGGAAAAACAAAACGGCAGAGCCACGAAGTAACTACTTAGTCGCTGCTGCGTTTGGAGCACCTTCGACGCTTCACTTCTTGTTGAAGGACGGCTTCGTAAGTCATCACGCGCCTCAGGAAGGCATCTAATCTTGCCACGTGCTGTCGGTGGGATGCAGCTGTGGGCGAAGTTTTTGTGGAAGCCGTGGGAGTGCTGAAATCCATAGATTCAAAGCTAACCTTTGACTCCAGGTATTTCACCGAGTTCTCCTGAAAGATAATCCCTTCATCACTTTCCACAATCACCATAGCAGCATGGGCGTTCCCAAACCCTTGGCTGGCATCGCTTTCTCCCAACCCATGGCTGGGGTTCTCGGCGAAACTGCCGCAACAACCCATGCTGAGATCTGAGCCCAAATGCATGGCGGTCGCTTGACATGGGACACGAGTCAACCGCCCAAGGATGCAACAAACATCCGTAAATCCCTAGGAAGGTATGGGCTGTTGCAATAGTACAACAGGAGGCTCCTGCCAAGCTGTCCCAAGCTCGTAGGCTGGTGCGCGGCTAAGAAGAAAGTGATCAGCAAGTCAACTGCTTCCTTTTGCCAATGCAAGGCACCGCGTACGTCTTGCGAACAAAACTTCGGGACTCCCGTTTCGGGTTCATTGTTGTTTGGGAACTTCGGGGCGCTGCGCCCTTCGTCAAATGCAACCCAGCAAAATTCCGAGCACGACGCGCAAAGGCGCCTGACATTGGCGCGGACATGCACCCCAGTGGGTCAGTAAAAGAATGCATCCAAAAACCAGCTGCTTTACAAGGTTTCGGTTCTCTCCTGCACACTGAGAATTCGCTACCACTGAACAGGTACATCCACAAGGAACGAAGCTTGTTCAGGTTGTGACTTTCAACAGTTTTCCATCTTATTGTTGGCGTATGGCATGTCTGAGTGCTGCCAAACGAACAAAAGCCCAGGCTGTAGAGGACATTGCACGTGTATATGCACGGACACAGGACACACATGAATCGAATAAATCAAATCCCTAGTCGGTGGTGAGGTTGCCACACTCCTCAGGCCTGCCTAATGCTGAAATGATCCAATGGACGGACCATGTTTGAGCGTACCCTTTTCACCTTGCTTCGGAACAAATCAAAAGGAACAGCTCCCAAACGAGGAGAACTCCGCCGTCAGAAGGACAGAGGGCCTGCTGACACTATTCCAGGCTTGGGTTGATGAAACCCCTTCCCACCACCCCTAGGGAGGGACGCCGTTAGATTGAGCTTTTATCCCCCGTAAAACCCCCCCGGCTCCAACAGAGGGGCTACATGGCTTGCCCAGACTTGAACCCAGGGGTCTACTCCTGGTAAGTTGAGGCTTCGCACACACCCCTTGCCCGCCTGGTCTGCCTGCATGCAGCTCAGGAGATGGATGGCCCACTGCCATTGGTGGCTTCGCTCGCAGGCGCTGATGGCGGCTCCGTAGCAGAACTCCTCGGTGAGCTCAGGATCCTTTTGAATTCTTGTGCCACATCCACACCAAAAAGGGAAGCCTCAAAAATACAAACACACACACACAAAAAACAAAAACACAAAAACACAAAAACAAAAACAAAGAACAACACAAACAAACATACACACACAAACACACACTCACAAACACACCAACACACAAACACACAAAAACACAAACACACAAAGACATAAAGACACAAACTCACCAACACACAAACACACAAAGACATAAAGACACAAACCCACCAACACACAAACACACAAACACACAAACTCACCAACACACAAACACACAAACACAAACACACAAACACACAAACACAAACACACAAACACACAAAAACACAAACACACAAAAACACAAACACACAAAGACATAAAGACACAAACCCACCAACACACAAACACACAAACACAAAAACACAAAAAACACAAACACACAAACACACAAAAACACAAACACACAAAGACATAAAGACATAAACCCACCAACACACAAACACACAAACACACAAACACACAAACACAAACACACAAACACACAAAAACACAAACACACAAAGACACAAAGACACACACACACAAACACAACAACACAAACACACAACCACACAAACACAAAAACACAAAAAACACAAACACACAAACACACAAAACACAAACACACAAAGACACAAAGACACAAACACACACACACAAACACAACAACACAAACACACAAACACACAAACACACAAAGACATAAACACAAAAACACAAAACACACAAACACACAAACACACAAAATCACAAACACACAAAGACACAAAGACACAAACACAAAAACAACACAAAAAAACACAAACACACACACACACACAAAAACACACACAAACACACACACAAACACACACACACACACACACTTCCTGGAGCCTGTAAATCCAACGTAAAAAATATGAACTGGAACAGTGTTCCGATGTGTTTTGTTGCACAAACGGTCAAAGATGGCGCAATTCCCTGGGTAAGAGGATGGCTTATGAGGGAGTCTAAAACTTACCTTTGGGCCAAACATGTGATGTTTAAAACCGTCATACAGGCAATGCGCAAACTCGCAGACACAACAGACTCAGTCAGTGCCAAAGAAAGGACATGTGTTGCAACTCCTTCCATCCTGGGGTGTTGACTGTATCAAGTGTGGGAAACAAACTGGGTATATTGTAAAAACTAGAGGTTGAAACTACCCTCTAAGTGCTTTAGGGGCATTGGCAAACGCAGCCTAGTGCCTTGCGTGGAAGCAGGAAACATACAAAGCGCAGAGCAGCTGGTTGCATCCCATACTCGTGGAGGGCACTCCTTATGGAATAAATTGCTTGGAAGGCGGGCAGGCAAACCAGCTGACCTTGGTTGCTTTGTGGTACCACCACAACGACCGTGGACGCATCGACAAGCCCAAGCATGTTCTGGCACCTCTTGTAAGGCTCTCGGCCCACCGTTTGCGCCAAGCAAAGATGGCAATGACGACAAACTGTTGAAGATCAATAGGACACGCATTTCTGGCAAGCAACACCTCCCCCTCTGCTTCGATTTCTGTTTCGCATATTTCACAACCACAGCAGGACACTCACGTGCTCGACGCTAGCACCACGGCGAACAAAACACAAGCACAGTTTCACCTACGCACAGGGGTAGGCTATCGTAGCATCATTTGCCCAAATGGGACTCGAACAATTTTTCAATCGTGCCCTTGGGCAAACGAACGGATGCGTCCAATAATTCTAGCAGTGCTTGTCCCCCGCCCGGTTTGAAGGAACCAAACGTACCCTTTGAGGAAACCAAATCCTCACCAACCCCAGGAGTGCTTCTTACGCCAGGAGTGCTTCTCAGAACCTTCAAAAGTAAACAAAGTTCATCGAGGGAAGGGGTGGGGATGTTCTGTCCCATTTTGTCGCTCCTGATTGCTCTCAGCGCCTCAAAGAACGAAGGGGCCTTCTCGTGGATTCCCTTCAAAACAACCCCAAAAGAGCACCCTCGAGAACAAGCCCAGGGGAACAACTTGCACCCTTCTCGTTGGACTCCCCCAAGCGCATCGAGCGTCATCTGCCATCACAGCACTCTGCTCCATCGTGGCCAATAGCCAAAGTCCTGACACAGGCACACGCCAACCTCCGTCGCCAGCTGAAAAAACAAATGTTCCACGTTTGCACATCCAAACTGGCCGGGGAAAGCTCCATGTTGAAAGCAGAGCAACAAAAGGAGCAGGTTTGGCCATGGGTCATCTTTTTGAACAGTCAACACCGGGTGACATTTATTGAGTGTCTCAACGATAAGCACACAAATTGTCATGGCCTCCAAATTCCTCAAACGGAAGCACGCGGACTGCTGCTTTCCAAGTCTTGCCTAAGGTAGAGGCTACTTGCCCAGCGCTTTTGAGGGACGCCGGAGAATCCTTCCCCCAAACTCCCCGAAGCGATGACACGCAACTTCCAACAGCAGGCTCAGCTCACAGAAGCGCTAATAGCGGAGGCGCGATCAAAAGAGCTGCCAAGCTGAAGGTGTATTCGGTGATGAGCAGGGTTAGAGCCATGTCATGTCAGATGTAACTCTTCGGTGACCAGCATCAAGTCGTGGCTAAGCGCCAATAGCCAAGTGGGCCAAACATCTAACGGGCTGTCAGCACAGGCCAAGTGAGCATCCCATAAAACAACTTGCGTTGCTTCTTGCAACACGGGGAATCTGAAACTTTCCTAGCTGCTATATGATAAACGGCAGAACGAAAGCGACACTGGTCTACCCATTTCCTTTTGGGCTCATTGGCTGTCGCCTCCTAGGCATTGATAGGTGGCGGTTAACATATTGAACCATACCTCCAATCAGCATTCCTTCGTTCCTTGAAAGATACGTTTTGCACAACAAATAATAACCACATTCACCCTAAGGGTTTCCACATGTGCCAGGTATGTGCCAGGTGACTCAGTTGTTTCCTAGGTCCAAAGGGCGGCCAGGAGCGCCCAAATTTCAAGCGCACGCCTCGCTGCCAGTGGTTCCGCATGGCAGAAATGCCCGCGGCGAAGCTGCCAGCATCCGGGTGCAGCCGCAGCGATGGCATTCGCTGCAGCAGAACCACAGCCATCCTCCGAAAGAGAGCGGGGTTAAGAGCAATCAAACCAGGGTTCTACTTTTGGACTACCCCAAGGTAGACTACCCGGTTTTGCTGTTAGGAAATCAACCACCCCTGGGTTTAACTCTTTTTGGGGGTAGTCAAAAGGTGGAACCCTAAATCAAGCTGTTTTCAGTATGTTGACTTCTGTGGGTTAAAGTCAGAAACTGGGGTGGTTTCGCTTTGACCTGCCACATTGGGGAAGACTTTGATAATGGGTCGAGGAAGGGGGCCAGTGAAAACCTGGCAAAGGAGCTACCAAGCAACATGTGAAGCCGTCGCTTTCCGGGATTTTGACTGTGGCTCTGAGTGACTTGATAGAAGTCAGGGGCTTATCCTCAGCGAGGCATTTTACAGCGTTTTGGGACATCTGCGGCTGCAACGTGGCACGGAGATCTCTTGCCTAGAAAATACCTTCAGTTTACAACTGTCTGCGGTCTGCAACGTAGAGCAAACTTGCCCTGGGACCTTGGAATGCAAAGGCAGGGCTTCTGATTCAAAATGGCAAGTCACTTCGGGGGCCTTCCAGTTCTATACGCCTCGTTTATGACACGGATGTCTTATCTGCCTGGGTGTTGCCATGAGAAAGCCCCCCCAAACAAAATTCCACAAGGCACCCTTTCGCAACCATGGAAACTACCAGAACCTTTGCATCGAGCTTGCTCTGAGGGCTCCCTCTCCATTTCCATGGGGAAGTGGCCAGTTTTAGCCAAGAGGCTCAGGTTCACCAGAAGCGTCACAAGCGCTCAGAGCAGAGTTGTAGCACACTGCCTTAGCAGGACCCAAACGCTACCCACCGCACCTGTGCCTGTGTTTGCATCTGTCCGGAATCACTTGCACCTCGGATCACTGGGGCAAGACCGCATCGGCAAGGGGGTCTTACGATGGGTTAAGGCCCCCGGCGTTTGGCTGCACCGTCGTGCCTGCCAGGAACTTGCCAAGAGCTACATGGGCTCCAACCAAAACCACAGGCAATAGGGGAAAATACATGGCCACCACCGTGGTTGCCTCATTCCGACTCTCCTCGCGCTTATTACCCTACACTCTCGGGGGAGGTTCCCACTAAAAAAAAGTGACTCCATTGGCCCGGCTTCCTTCTTGGCGGCTTGTCCTCTCCGTGGCGCAAAACATGTCCAGACCGTTTGTTTGCCCAGGTCTGCCGGGTGAAAACCCAGCGATGACTTGTTTTCCACAGGCAGTACAAACCCTACTAATGACTCCCCATGTTTTGCTATTTGATTAAGTTTTTACAAACTCGATCTCTGTCCGAATCCCGGGCTCAACTTGCTAAATACAAAAAACCTCCTTTGTCCACCAGGGTTTAGCCTCTTGGACCCCGCGTGATGCAATAGACAGGCCAGCCTCACCAGCTGAACTGCATGACAGACCGGTTGAGTTGGTGAGAGCTAGAATGCCAGTGTCTTTCCTAGCTAAAGACCTTAGATCAAGGAAATCCGGTGTTTGAAGTGGCCCGAAAACTGTCGATATTTATACAAGTCCCGTAAATAGCCAAGGCCAAACAGTCACGCAAAGCGCGATGCCCCACCAGAGCCCGTGATCCACTTTAGCCTGACTGTTTTGGGGTCCGCTTGAATGTCAAGCTTTTTTTGGCGACCGTGCCTCTGTTAGTATCTGAGATGTGGGAATCTGAGAAGCACTTTCCCTGGACATGGGCTCAATCGCCCCACACCTAGAGAAGCTCATTCGATGCGTTGCCAAGGCCTAGCAGCACCAGCGCCGTCTGCCACTGGCTCCGAAGGGCGCTGATACAGCTGCTGAGCGTGATCCTGCGCGGAAGAAATCCTCTCGTTGCAACCAGCGGCGTTTTTTACTGGAGACATGTGCCCGAAGAGCGCCACAAAAGCAAACAGGAAAGAAACAACGTCCAGCAAAACTTGTCCCTTGGCTGTTGCCAGTTGCTTCTCAGGGCCTGCATGGATTGCACAGCCAAGGTTCCTCGCCACTTCCCCGGGTCATCCCAATTTGATCCTCTGGGGTGGCGAGCTCTGGAAATATCTTGTGCATGTTTCGTCCGAATTGTTCAAACAGGCGGGTTCCAAGAAAAATCAAACCAAGGCGACAAACATCACAAAGCGTTCGGAACCATTCCAAACCACCCACAAGCCAGCCAGAAGCCCCCAAACAATCCGACCTCCATTCAACAAGAAAACAAAATACAAA